CATGTCTACATCCAGGAAAGCAATGGCCATCATCTCCAAATATCACTAAATTGCATCGCTAAGATAGCCAAACTTCAAGGGCCATAGCGGGAACCATTTACGGCGTCTATTTTTCTGAACCATGCACTGCAGAACAGTGGACTGTGTCCACTACCACCCAGGACATGTCTCGTAAAAAGTGTTCAATGTTTTCTAGAAATAAACAAATTTGAATATTTTCACTTCACCACATTGCAACACTGCCATTGAGAGAACCACACCCTGCGCAAGCGCAGCCTTCTCGGTATAACTAAAGCTATGGAGGGAAAAAAGGGGTACATGCATTAAGCAAGACAGGGTGAGCGGGAAAAGAGGTGCATGCTTTAAGCGAGACAGGGTGAGCGGGAAAAGGGGTGCATGCATTAAGCGAGACAGGGTGAGCGGGAAAAGGCGTGCATGCATTAAGCGAGACAGGGTGAGCGGGAAAAGGCGTGCATGCATTAAGCGAGACAGGGTGAGCGGGAAAAGGCGTGCATGCATTAACCCTTTGCGTGCTGAGTACGAGTTTAGTCGCACTTTATGCATGACCTGATCCACTACGTACGAGTTAACTCGCAAACAATCCGCGTGATATATCGCGGTGCATAGACCAGTGTACAAACTTTCTTAACTTCGTCAGACATAAACGCATAGCGACAATCAAAACACCGTTGGAAAGGATTTGACCTCATCTTTCTGGGGATATAAAGTTCTTCGCAATAGGATAAGAATTCATTGAGCGGTGACAAGATGAACACAAAAATCACGGCCCAGAGTGAACGCAATTTGTTTGTTCACGACTTATTTTTGTTGAGGAGCGTGCCAGGGGATTTCCCTTCGGCAAGGCGCATGCGTTTTGGACATCAAATGAAGCGCTTGGATCTGAGCTTTGCAGAGCAGTTTGAATTGTGAAAATCTGTTGAATTTGGGCAAGAAGCCGAACAAGAATGTGAAATTGAGTTGTTGTGTCGTTCCGAGGCACGGTGGAGTAGTTCGGAGAGGACTGGAAAGACTGGAAGTATTTTTCAAAACAATGTTTTGAAAAAAAGCTGAGCGCTCGAGTGTGGTGAACACGGCCAAACCCCATGTTTTTCTTGGTAACATGACGTCAGCCGCATTATCACCATGGCGAGTTGCAGCGCTGATCTTGAAGTACTGCGGCACCAGAAAAGTGTCCTTATTCTACCTGAGCACTTGAGACGGCGGGCAAAGGAGATAAGGGGATAGAGAGAAAGAGCAAAGAATGGGACCAACGAAGCAGGTGAGAGAGAAAGGAGGTACGGGGATAGAGAGAAAGAGGGAAGAATGGGACAACAAAAGCAGACGAGAAAGAAAGGAGGTAAGAGGAAAGAGGTGGAGAAAGGAGTTGTAGAAGCCTGGGATAGGGTGCAGTATTTGTAGTTAGTTGTGTGAGTGTGTTTGTGTGTCTGTTTGTGTGTGTTTGTGTGTGTTTGTGTGTGTGTTTGTGTGTGTGTCTGTGTGTGTGTTTGTGTGCGCGTGCGTGTGTATGCATTTGGGCCGCGATCAGCTAAACATGTATTTGCGTTTTGAAAAAAAGTTGAGAAAAGACGGAATGAAAAAATATTTTGTCGAGTGTGGTCACGCTGGGCTTCAGTCATGAACCGGGACGAGCGGTGGACGGCGACCGTCTTTAAAAAAATTGTTCAAACACTTCTTTGGTGGTCTAAACAAATAGTTGAATTAGCCCACTCGCAAATGCAAGTCAATGTCCACATCTAGTGATACTATGGCTGCTCGCTGGGCCAGATGATTGCTGTGCATGGCGCAGGTTTGGTCAGGTGTCAGCAAGTCCGTGGCGGCGGGTCTGCAGAGCGATGATGACAATTTTTGGGGATCTCAGAGATATTGATGTCGACAGCGAAGCTGAATCGCCGGCTAAGAGGCACAAGCTGCGGGCGAGTACATTAGAGCACGAACTGCCTTACGACGTTATGTGCCGTTAAGCTCTCAACAGTCGTCGTCTGACGCACCCTCGGAAGCGCAGGTGACAACCAAAGGTGTCACTGCCAGAATCGAAAGAGTATGCAAGTGCAACGCCGCCCAGAGGATCATGGTGCTTTCCAGGAAGAACTTGGTCCATGACTTGGAACTGATGTCGTTGACATGCTCAAGTCTGTGTCATCAACTTTAGTTCCTTCGTATTGTGCTCCTCCACAAAAGCCACTAAGTTTGTCTGTGTGTCAGACTGTGCGAAAACTGTCATTTTCTATTTCAAAGTATATGTTGGACTCAGTAGAGCGTCCAGCCCCTATATGATGTCCAACCCCTATATAGAGTCCATTGGTCCAAAATCCACTGTACAGAGTCCAAACTTGGAATCAACTGTGAGCTCAAAGTTTCGATGGACATCACTCCCTGTATAGAGTCCAGCCAATTGGCTTCACCCCTATATAGAGTCCATTGGTCCAAAATCAACTGTACGGAGTCCAAACTTTGAAATCAACTATAAAGAGTCTTTATGTGGACAACACCCCCTGTATAAAGTCCAGCCAATTAGGCATCCCCTATCGAGTTCGAAAATAGACATAGGATCCGCTGTAAGCAGTGAATATTAACCAGAAAACGGCCTCTGCCTTTAATCCTTTACATCATTCACTTCTCAAGATAAAAAAATATGTATTGAGGCGCCACTGCAGCCACGTCATTACATGAAAAACCCTACAAACACCATCCTCAAACCAAGTGGTCTCTTCGCAGACGCTGCAACTTACAATATCTCAATCATGTAGTGTTGCCAAATTATTGTGCACGCACACACACATGCACACACCCACACAACGCCAAGAAAATACCTAGAAAAAAACCAAGAATCGAAAGAGAATAATGGAGAGCCCAGGATTAATTATTTGTTTTCAAATTATTGTGCGCGCGCGCGCGCGCGCGCACACACACACACACACACACACACACACACACACACACACACACACACACACACACACACACACACACACACTTATACAACGCCAAAAAAACACCAAGAAGAGAGTAGAGACACAATACACACGCAACTCCAACAGCCATGCAAACGTCCACCCATTTACATGTAAAGTCAAGAGGGATAACAAATAATTATACGAAACGAATGCGTACGGGGACGGGTACACGCACGTTTACATACACGTAGTAGTGTAAGAGAGTAACATAGTGCAGTGGTCAGCATAATACTAGCACATGCTGAGAGTGCAATAGCAAGCTTCACCATTGCTCATGGCCATGCAAATGTTCAGCAGCACTCAGTTCCGCAAGCTTCTGAAGATCAGCACACCTGCAACAAATAGATAGCACAAGGATACGCTTATTACCGTAATGATGCATGGGAGCACACAACTACCAAGTTCTCAACGAATGTGATGCTCAATGAAAATCAATCCACTCAAAGACCTGTGAACAGGTGATGGTGGGTACAATAATCTATTAGTAATACGAGGAATAAAATCGTTTGTGCACACTCAAAACGCACAGACACACCAACATACATGTAGTGTACACAGTGTTTCACTTCACTGCAACTAAATTGAAATGAGATGATTTGAACAATCTGTACAGCGTTGCTGTCAGTCAGTCTTCCCCAAGATGGAAATGCAATGATTTGTTGTCACGAGGCAGTTTCACTGACACAATGTCATGTTCGTGACATCAAAACGGTTACTTCAGGGAATACGAGTATTAGCTTGAGAAGCTTTTTCTTGTCATTGGCATACAAGCAATCCTCCTAGTCCTACTACTACTAGTACACTGGCACTGCGTTTGTGGATCCCATTGTATTCGACATCATACTACAGGAAGAGTGTCGTGGAGTTCACATAATTATCACAGGGATAAAAATACATTTCTCATGAAATAAAAATTGATGATAGCTAGACGATCATATACGATTGATGCAAAGTCCTTGCAGTCCTTGAGGACTATTACGAAGTGGTTGATTACTTTTAGGGCATTCATTCAAGCAACATCAAACAAACGCGATACGCTCCTTGAAAATGGAAAAAATTCAAGCATAACGACAGAACAGCAGACCAATCGAAACGAGTAAAAGCTTCCTTACCTCAGTCATCGTCCTGCCATGTAGTTGGACAGCCTTTTGACACGGTGGTACAGGCAGCTCTTGTCCAGTCAAACAGGGGTATCCTTGTGGCGTCGAACGAAAGAGAGTGTCAGTGTATCTGACTCGTCAGATTGCAACTGTGCTGAACCTTTCTCTTTCTCCGCTTTCTGCTTTCATCCCTCGCTCTGATGAAACCGTTCAAACGTCTTACTGGCAGCAATGGCCAGCCAAACAGGGGATCCTTGTGGCGTCGAACGAAAGAGAGCGTCAGTGTACCTGACTCGTCAGATTTGAACTGTGCTGAACTTTTCTCGTTCTGCAATTTCTGCTTTCATCCCGCGCACTGATGAAACGTCTTCAGAGAACCACAAGACGCTTTCCAGATTTGATTTTGAACGTCTCCTTATCCTCCTTGGTTAGCTCGAGACAGATTACTGTCAGCAACTGCACAGCAGAATTGGCAGCCATGGCTGAAGTGAAGAAAGGAATGCGCTGCCACGAGGCAAGCAAAACTGAAATTTTTTTAAAAATGTGTTCTCTTTCGGGGCACAACACACAGGACGGCGTGACTGGATAAACTGGACTCCTGGACCGTGAATAGGGGACTTGTAGAAAAAGTGTACTCCTTATAGGGGATTGCGCGGCAGGATGAAGCTGATCAAAACTGAGTGGACTCCTGGACTCTGTATAGTGGATTTTGGACCAATGGACTCTATATAGGGTGCTGGACATCATATAGTGCATGGACTCTATACTGAGTCCTACATATATATTTTAAAAACGGTGCTTTGGTGACTGTTAGACTACTTTGGTGCCCTGTACCACCTTCAAGAGGTCATGTAAGGTCCCAACAAACTGTTTTCTGGAGGAGCTGATTGTGGCCCATAATGTGAATTGCTTCTTTTCACCACAGCATGCAGAGCAGTTGAAGTCTGTTGCAACTAAAGGTGAACTTGATGCCACTCGTCAACATCCAACACAGTCTGTACTTGACTTGAAACATGAGATGACCGCAGCAATGGAGGAGAAGAATGCAGTTTTGACTCAGGTACTACAGCAGTATACACACTGCCTTTATCATAGGGTTTCTTCCATTTTAGAAACTTTTCAGTGGCCTGCTTGAAATATTCCAGTTCAATTGTCTACCAAATCTTTAATGGAGCACTCCGGGAATGTTTTCGGTGGTGTGTTCTCTTCATGGGGGCCTTATTTGGCCCCCAAGGAATGGGGAATTGCGAAAACTAGACCCAAAAAGTCGATATATGAAGCCAGGGAGGGCCAAGTTTGTCTCCTCTTTTGATGGTTTTGATGACGTCACGTGTGATTAGTATTCAAATTCTCTGCATTTGAAGATGTCTAGACTTTATCTTTGGATGGAGATGATCACAAGCTTTTCAGGGAGCTCCAGATAATGAAACTCCATTGCTGGTAGCCCTTTCCCAAAGGTGCTTTTTTAATTCGCACTTAGAGCTTTTCACGTCCCTCAAAATATGCTTAAAAAGTGCTCTTTTTTCAGTGAAAACAGGCAAAAGTGCTCTTTTTTCAGTGAAGCATAGCCAGTTTAGATATGAACCCAAGCTGAGAAATGAATACGCACTCTTCCATTTATGGGTCCACGAAGGGCAAAACAGGAAGTAAAGTTCAAAAACCCACCTTTTACAGCATTGTACGCCGGGTACAAGCTTCACCAACTTGTTGCCCCCCCCCCCCCAAAAAAAAAGCGGCGTACCAAGGCCCGGGGCGCCCATCGTGCATTCGGAAACTGTGATCGCATGCATGAGCAAACAGATTTTAGCACTTTTCCCCCAAAAAAGCTCAAAAAGGGCGATATTAACCTAAAAACGTAATAAAGGGCGAAAGAAACGGGCTTTTCCAAAAAGGGCCAAAAGGGGGAAAAAAGGTGAGCACCTTTGGGAAAGGGCTAATTGCTGGTGAGTAAATTATGAAATTTTGAAATCGACCATCCGTGGCTGCGTGCAGCGCTGTGCGAGTGCCCGGGAAATCAGAAAACCCAGCGGGCTTCAAAGGGTTAAACTAGATTTAGGGAATATAATAATACTGTATGTTCCTAGAAAGGAATACTGAGAAATAGAGCTGAAAGGATATTCAAAAGCTGCTTTACGATAACACGTATAGCTTAACCCTTTACCGTTTTAGGTATTTGTACAGCAAAAACCGACCGTCATTATTCATGCCGTAACTTTTTTATTTTTCACTTTTATTATGTACAAAATGGGGTGATTCTGAAAGTAAAAACCCTCAGGAATGCGATGCAACAACTTTCAAGTCCAGAAAACGAACACAGATTTCACTATTTAGCACTAATAATTATTAGGATTTATTGCCGATCGGGCAAACTGTTGCAATATGCAATAAATCAGATCCTTGCACTGGAGTGGCTCCCTCAGGTAAGTGGATACCAGGTTCGTTCTCTGGGTGGAATGCAGGAGTGTTACCAGTCACAGCAGTGTCAGCATTGTCCCAAGTATTGCAAATATCGACTAGTGCAGGTTGCACCGCTGGCTGTACATAGTACCTGTGCACCACGACCTCTACCGTGACGACGGCCTATTCCAAGGCCGAATCCTCTCTCTCTGCCACATCCCCTTCCACCATTAGTGGCACTCATCTCAGCGACACTGTTGTCGTCTGTGACATCCATGTCACTCTCACTGGCGCTGCTTTCACTCGCCATGTCATCGTCGCAGTCGTCGTCAGAATAAATATTTTCAACAGGATTGTCTGGCTCCGCAAACTCATCTTCGCTGGATGAAACAGCGACAGAGTCGTCAGGAAGGGTCTCCAGAAGCGAAAGAGCTTGCTCCGCGTCCATGGCTTGCACAGCAGGGCAGACAGCCGTGAGGCCAGCTCAAGCAAAAGTCGAAATAATCTGCAGGCAATACCAAAAGTCGCAGGGTACGCACTTTTCCCAAAGCGCATTTTTCAAGTCGCGATTTTCGCGATTTTTTATATTGCATCACACACAAAAATTGTCGGCACCCTCTGCGCGTACATCTTGGCTACCAGTAGGGAAAATCCCAGCTCTCTGCGGTGAACCAGTCCAGCGCTGTGCGCATAGAAGTCATCGACCGCGAGCGGTCGAAATTTGTACGTACAAACGGTAAAGGGTTAACAAACGATATGACACTCATAAAAAGGACACACTTCAGGCTCGTTACAAACATCTTGAAAGTTTTTGTCTTGACAAGTATACTTTCAAGCCTTCTTTTTATGAGTATCATCGCATTTTTGTCTCAGTGGAAGCTGTTTACTTAAACAATATAACCATATTGAATTCATGGATAAGTCAGGATAACCAAACAGTGCATTCTGATTTCTGACTCTTGTCCTGAGAACTTATCGTACTCGTCATCGTCACTCTGCAGACAGTGATGGCAACTTTGGAAGACTCAGTTCCTCTTCCTCCAGCTCCTCGGCCAAGCTCAATGAATTCGATCCTGAGCTAGTATTCTGGTAGCGAGCCCCAGGCAATACGCTGTTGACGGACAGGAAGATGGATGCGTCGAAGGGAGCAGGGGACAAGCCATTGCGGAGCTTGGTCACCAGCCGACCCGCAGCAGAGAAGATTCTCTCAGATGGCACTGACGTCGTGGGCACAGAGAGGTATCTCCTGGCGAGAGTGGAGACACCAGGAAAGCGGTGCTTATTCTTTCTCCACCACTCCAGGGGCCTGTCATCTACATCCAGATCATCTTCCACGAAGAACAACTACACTTCCCTGTCTCTGAGCTGAGTTTCAGCATCATCATTGGTGGTGGATGGGACGTCTTTGCTTGGTTGACTGCGACCAAACAGGCGAGGCAGTTCACCAGACGGAGTGTATGCCTTCTTGCGAGGTAGCTCACTTGTGCTGGTCACGGCTGCCCTTTCTGCAAGCAATGACTTCACGTGATCTTTTGCTGCAGATGCTTTATCGTCATCCAGAAACTGGAGGGACCGGAAACGCGGGTCAAGTGCAGCACACACTACAGCATGTCCTGGATTACCTTCAGTGGCTGTGCATCAGCATTCAGCTGGCGCTGCTTGCTTTCCAGCGCTTCCGCAGCCAGACAGGAGTGCTTGAAATGCCCAACAAGCTTTCTACACAATTACCGATCAACCAACCTCTACGAAATATGCCCGTACCTGCGACCGTTTTGTTCTAGAAACTTTTGCCGACATCCCTTCTGCCGCTAGCTCGCGTAACAAAAATGAACTCAGACCTTGTCCTGCCCAAAGACAGAAAATACAACCTTGGGACACACTGTGACTTTCTTCCCGACAACAAACAACGACAGTAACAGTTCGCCACAGCCACTTTCAAGTTCAAGTACCGGTACGCATCAGCAGCTGTAACTGACTTCAGTCCAAACTGTCATAGCCGAACGCGGCTGGACAGGGCTAGTACAAGTAGTAGTAGTGTACATGATGCTGTCCCCGGGGAAAATTGTGATTCCTCGGCCCGTTTTTTTCCGCGTTTTTTGCGATTTTTTGAAAGACCGCGTTTTCCGCGATTTTCCCGCGTTTTTAGAACTTTTTTGTTGCACTACACGTACACACAGTGCACTGTTGTGTCAGCAACGTCTCATCGTGGCAGCTTTTTACTCAAATATGACGAGTGCTTACACCAGAGACTTGTAACTGATTGATTTCACTACATACTCACTGAAAATGGCCGCACATCAATATTATTCACCGCATATTTATCGCATATTTACCGCAAATTCACCGCAAATTATGCCATATTATGCCGCGTTTTTCCCCGCGTTTTTTGCGATTTTTTTCCGCAATTTTCCCCGGGGACAGATGATGTAGTCCGCGCGCTTGCTGGATCAGTGTACGCACGAATTCTACAGTAACTGTCTACCACCAGTGTACAATGTAGTACTGGACATGTGCCATGCTAGTGCACAGCGCGGTTTGGACCCCGTACACGCAGTAGCACAGTGCTGCAGCACTCACAGCACTGTTAATTAATCGCGTTCTGGCACCTCACACACGTGCACCTACATGTACATTGTTCAGTGGTATTGTTATATCGTTAGTGACAGCTAACGATATAACGATAATTTCCTTAGCGATTAGCAAACGGTGAATCGATCATATCGTTTCAGCCCTACTAAGAAACAGTGGTAAGAATTTCTGATATTCGGCAAGGAGGCAACAATTTTAATATCGCAATAATATTACGCGCTTAAAGGGGAACTACACCCAAAAATCAAAACTCAATGGTCCGTAGAGTTTTGGACGCTGAGTCGAATGGTGAAGGTCCCACTTCGATCCGACCAAGCGTTCCTGAGATATCTTCGGTTCAAATTGTACTTTCGGGGGACGCGCCATGACGTCATGCGGCCGCGACACACCCCCAACACGCCCTTCTACGTCATTGAGACTCGCTTGCTTGGGCCAAGCTCAGAAGTACAGGTATTTTGGTATGTGAAAGGAATAGTTCTGACAAAGACGTCCTCACCATCAGCGATTCCGACGTATCAGACGAGCTTGAAAGCTCAGAGCCTGAGCTGAAAATGTTTGGCTTCGGGCATGAGCCGAAATTTTCAGGAAAGGATATGGCAGCGCAAGCGGTGGCTTCCATTCGGGCTGTAAATGTGGATGAAGCAGAAATTACTGCAATTGGAGAAGTCGCTCTCCATCAGCAACATCTGGCAACCGGTTGGCTTGGCTATTTCGAAATGAAGCGGGAGCCAAAGCAGCTCAGACAAGCCTGACAATCCGTAAGTGTTTTCACAGTATAGTCCTACGTAATGCTCACAAATCGAATCGTTCTCTTCATATCGTAAATTGTGTGAAATTTTGTATTCGGACAGTACTCAGATCAATAGTCTCCTCACTCGTACTCCTGTACATGGAGTTTGCTGCGTAACATGGCTAGCATTATCTCCGTACAAGTCGTGCAATGTGTATCGGTTCACTTGTACTTTATTTCACATAAGTGGACTGCACCTCAATTCGTATTGTGGCGAAATACATTCTCACCTTTTGCATTATCACTTAGTCTTTGCAGAAAGCTGAGACGTTCTCTTGTATTTC